TCGAATTTTTAAGGGAATTAAGCTTTTCTAAATGTAATCTATATTTTTTATTCGAACAACAAAAGTTTAAGCAATGACATAATTATGCATAAAAATATATCCTAAGAAATTAGACTAGATATGGAGTAGTTTTCATGTTGGTTCTTAAGAGAATTGAATTGTTGGTTCTAGGGGTTAACATTCGGTTTTTTGGTTAGATTTTGAGGTTTTTTTTTTTTTTTGGTTAACCGAATTGGCTAAAACAAAAACCAAAACCGAACCGAATTGAGGTTTGGTTTTTTGGTTAAAAAATCGAATTTTTTTGTTCGTTTTTCGATTAAAAACCCATTTTTTGTTTTTTTTTTACATTTTTCTTCTAAAAACCGAATTATTTTACTTTTAAAAAATATTATACTTGCATAATCAAATATTGCATATTTCACATTTGATGTTATAATAAAATTGTGTAAGATTATTATTATTTTTCTACACTAAATTTGTTTCTATTCATATTATAAACTAAATTAGTTGAGCTTGTCATTATTTTTTCAATCACACTACAATTGTTTTTTTGTTAATCTTCCATATTCTTTTTAATCTACTTATTTTGTGCATATTTTATTGTTGAATAGATAATCTTAAAATCCAATTTTTAATTTATGTTTAGTATAAGCATAAAAAAGATGAAAAAATTATTATTGTTATTTGTCATTAATACCATTATAGTACTATTATAAATGCAGTGGCTTCGGTCAATTTTTTTAGATGATATTTTTGTGCCAATTTTAATACAAGGAGATAATTTTTTTTCCATGAGGTTTTAGAATTCACCCACACATAAACTTGTGTATTTATAAAGAATTACTTTATCATAGTCTTTTTTTCATTTGTTTGTAAGTCAATATAATATAATCAATTATTTTATTATTTCAATAAATAATTAATGAAAAATATTTTTATTTTAAGTAGAAAAAAATCATTAAAGCTATTATTCTTTTACTTAAACCCAAAGGTGCTTCTTTTATTTATTTTTTTTAAAAAAAGAGCTTGGGTATATGTTTTTTTTTAAAATAAAATAATTTGATTTTCGATGGAAACTGAATTTGAAAAAAAAATCGAACCAAACCGAAATAATTTCGATTTTAATTTTTTATTTTTCAATTTTTTTAAAAAAAGCTGAACCAAAATTGCTAATTTGATTCGATTCGATTTTTCGGTTTTAACCGAATAATGCTCACCCCTAATTGGTTCCTTGTCATTGGGATTGCTTGAGTTGGTTAAAAGATGAAGTTGAATTTCATCAATAATTTTTGAAGGGTTTCAATTTAAATGGATTATTTCCATAATACATTTAGTCATTAGGAAATCACTTCTCGACTAAATACGGAGTAACCATTAAACTTATTCAATGTTTTCAAGCAATGCAAACATGTTGTGTTGGAAAGATGTAAGCGAAAGCATTTGGTGATTTTTTAGTAGAATATTAATAAGAAAAAACTATCATATAGCTCAAAGAAATATGATCAATGAACTCATTCTATTCTTAAGATTATTTAAAAAAATCATCATTAAACATTTTCTAATTATTTGAGAATACAAAAAATTTATTGATTAAGATTGAAAATTCAAGCATGAGGTTTTCATTTGTTTGTAATACATTTTACTTCTTTTTAACTCAAAATAAAAAAACATACACATTAATTTTCAATGCATAAAAAAATTACAAATAAGAGTTATAAAAATCCAAAAATTCTTTCACTCTAGGTCATCTATGCACAACATCCTTCAACATTCATGTGTCTTTAATCATTAACCGAAAATATGTAAGTTTTCACTTCTTTTTTTTTTTTTTTGGTCACTCTAAAATCTTGGCCTCAAACAATCCTTCTTTTATGGTTGTCAAGCCTCCGATTTACATGGTATCTAGAAATCAAGAATGAATCCTTATATCACCCAACTCCGTAACATCAAAGACAATTGTTTAGTCAAGGTTTCAATTACATCGGACTTGCTTAATGTATCTACTTTGGGAGAGATGAGCCTAAAATCCAATTGTATCTACTTTGGAAGAGATGAGCGTAAAATCCAATTCTAGTCATTACGTAAGTAAATATGATCTATTTGAGTCTTAAACATGGTCTCTTTAAGTTAAGAAGAACTAAGGACAACTAAATATGATGGTGGTAACCGTGACCATTAGTTATCTCTCACTACATTGGTGACTTTCCGAATGAATTGAGGCATTATGAGTATTATCCATGGTGAAATCCATTAGAGAATTATTACTTTCTCCTAAATTCTTAGGCAATTGTATGCAAACAAGATTTGTACAATAAGGTGTGTGAGAAAGCATTAGTTTATATTCGAGTTTTAATCTTGACTATTGAATTGAGTAAACAAAATAAAAGCTATCAATAAAGATATCAAATCAATAACGTAAGTAATCGGATAAATACAAACATGTTCATATAATTATAAATAAGCAAATAAAGACAAACAAATTACACAAATACTAAACAAAAAAAAACATATACATTTATCACGTAACTAGAGATTATGAATTAAAACTCATGACTCTAAAGTCCCTAATTAAGTCATCATTACGTCACACGTATACATCTAGATGAATAATGATTTTTTCATAATATCAAGAAAAATTGAGATTAAGGAACATAGTTGCCACCTAGTATTAATAGTCACTAGAAACCTATTGACTATTCTACTCATGATTTTAAGGTAAGGAGTTGGTTACATATAAAGAAGACATAAATCACTCTACTCTATTCTATCTAAGGTAGGTTGTATTGTATGTATCTAAATTTAATCTCTTATTTCTAACTCGATGAATGCCTATGCTGATTAATGTATTTGATAACCAAGTTGGTTATCGATTGTTAAAGTGATTCAAGATTAAACTGGTTTTAAACCTTATTCTTGCTTTAAGAAAGCTAGGATTAGACTTAAGAAAGTAAAAGAGGGCAAACCCAATCAAATAAAATGGACCCAAAGGTCCTCATTCACACTCGATGGGCCTATATGGAATCATGATAGCTCATCCTGTGAAGGCTCACTTGTAGGATACAAAAAGAAAGAAAGAAAGGAATATGATCTCAAAATAACTCTAAGCACCATTTATCCATGAATATGTGTTTATAAGCACAATTAACAAACATTTACCATTAAAAGATAGTAAAACAAGTAGTTGGAAAAAAAAAGTTTAAAAGTTCAAAAAGTATATAAATTGTGCAAATTCAAACGAACATGCCAATTCTAAAAATAAAGATTGATAATATTAATAATGATCCAAATAAAATATAGATAAGCACAAATGTAACATTTATTAATTATCTTGTTCATATATGTCAAGCAATTTTGATTATTCATGGATGACTTAAATAAATCATGCATATAGAAAATCCATTATTAGGAAAAATGGTGACCTCAAGACTCGATGGTATAAGCAACAAAATTACACAAACAAGTGTTTAAAAAATCAAGCAAATAAGGTTTCAATTATCGATACAAGGATCGATTTCCATATCAAGTAGTAGCCTTTTTAACACATAGTGAAATGCCAAACTAGATGAATCCAAACATGGATAACATTCATAATATATCATCGGCTAATTCATCGCTTCGTGCTTTATTGCTACATGTATACATGCAACACACAGGGCATATAAGAAAAATATATTTTTTATAGTTTATTGATCTTAAACATCGGATAAAATCACATTCCTAAAAAGATAATAGTTTGACAAAAATACATTCAAAATAAATTATGATAACTTCGAAAAATTATAAAGTAGGATGTGATCAATTTGAAAAAAAAAAAAAAAACTTTTCTAGACAATTAATGGGACTAAATCGACAATGACTTTGAAAATAAAGCATAAATCTGCTGGACAACAAGTAGAGCTAACCAAAAATATTTTACAACTCATTAAAAAAATTATGTGAGAACAAAGAGAAATTAATCATAAAAAAATTTCAACTAAGTTTAAAAATTACCCGAAATAAACTAAAAATGGTTTTAAAATCAAATACAAAATTATTCATTAAGATAAAGAAACAACTTAAATCAATTGAAATGATAAAAATTTTCAAAAGCCATGTTTCACACAAGTCACCAATACGTGAACAAAAATGTTGTGAACACAAACAATTCACCAACACATGGAAAAAAGCAAGCAAATAATTATAAATCTATACCAAGACCAAACTATTACATCATGAATAAACCAATCACATCAAACCTAATCCACTCCTTCCAATTCTTTTGTGGAATGTTAAATACCAACCTTATTCTCCTTAATAAATTTTTTAGTGACAACATACCCCAATGATATCATCCTCAATTGGTGACCAAACACTTCTATATTCATAAAATCTATGCAAATGCATAAATATGCTTTTTAATCTAAAAATCAATAATCATATCTAAATTGGAAGAAATATGCAAGGAAGGGATAGAAATCTCCTAGCAAAGTCGGGAAAATAGGTGAAAGGATACTACCAACATGGTTCATCGGATTCCAACTAGTACTACCAAACAGTGAAAATTCCGATAACTCCTTTTGGCACATGTTCTACTAAATAGGGTAGTTCTCAACCTCCTCTATGTATTAATAGAGGTGATGTCACATAATTCCATCTAAAAAATGAGAATATAATTAGAAAGTTTCAACCCATCCTTTCTTTTTCAATGAAACTAAATCGGTAATGGATCAAATGATTTCAAGGTTGGGTTTGGTTGGAAATCATTTGAGGAAACTTTGGGAGCTTGGTTGGATTGTTGTTGGCTACTCAAAGCACCGGATATATAAGTAACCCGAGAATAAAACTTGGCCAAAAATGTTTCGGCAAGCTTCGAGGTGTTTTTCATCGGTGTTTTTTTTATTATTATCTTCAAAGCTCAAAAAGATGATTTGGAAGAGTATTACTCGCTATTGGGATTTTTTTTTTTCGAGTGGCTAAAATCGACGTTGATTGGCTAGATTCCAACCAAAAATTGCTAAATGATGGCTGGTTGGTGGCAAGGGAGAAAGTTGGAGAGAGGAGAGAGAAGGATAGTGTGGTCTGCTACATTGTTTTGTGTGAAGAAGAGGTATTTATAAAGGATTTTAGGGTTTAGGCTTAATTCATATTTGGTTCCTTATATGCTTCTTGTTTTTCACTTTAATCCTAAACTTTTTTTTATTTCGGTTACACCCTTAATTTGATTTCTATTGATCTTTATTCTTTTATTTTCTTTGATTTGTGTTCGGATTTTTCTTCTCACTTTTTTTCTTTTTTTTTCTTTTTCTTTTTTAGTTCATTTACTTTTCTCATTTTTTGATTGATTATTTTTATTCACTTATTTTCTATACTTGATAATTTTTTCAAAACTCACAAAACTCAAAAGAATTATAAAACTCATAAAAAAAAAACTCCGGTAAAGGCTAAAATTTGAAAAATCAATCAAATTAAATAAAATATTTAATTTTGGGGCATTTTTAGATTCTTTTAAAAGTTTGAAAAAATTAGAGGATTTTAATTGGGTGATAATAGTAGCTTTGATGAGACATGTTATTACGTGCTGATAAGTTTATAAAGGTTTAAATTGTAACATTTTTGCCTTTTTTTTTTTTTTTTTTTTTTTTTGCTAGAATCATATAAAACTATGCTATGATTCTTTTTTTTTTTTTTTTTTTTCTAATGAAGAATATTGTACTTAACCAAAGCTTCCTTATAAAACCACAAAACCGATCAATTGTAACTCGGTCCACATATATAATCCTAGTGTTCTTTTAATCACTAAATACACATAAGAGAAGGCAAAGCTTTTATGTTTATAAAAACTCTACACCGATAACAAATCTTACATTAATTAGAAAACTAACACTAGTGTTATTTTAATCACTAAATACACATAAGAGAAGTCAAAGCTTCTATATTTATAGAAACTCTACACCGATAACAAATCTTACATTAATTAGAAAACTAACTTTAACTAGAGTTTGTAACAAATCCTATATTAAGTAGAAAACCAACTCCTGTTAGAAAATCGTATCCTTAGGATATAAGGATTGAAGACTAATGTTAATTTGGTTTGATTCTAACAACCTCCCTTAAACCAAACTCTTTAAATTTCTTCATGCCAATCATCTTCTTAAATTTCAAGAACAAATCGATTTTAAGTGGTTTTGTGAAGAAATCAACAAATTGATCTTCGGATGAACAAAACTCAACCATGATTTTTTGATCTTTCATCAACTTATGAATATAATGGTACTTGATGTCAACGTATTTGTCACAATCATGAAACACTAGATTCTTTATGAATGCAATAGTGAATTTTCTATCACAAAAAAAAAAAAAAAAAAATCCTTATTGACTTGTTTTGATAACTTTGTAACTCACTAAGCATTCTTCTCAACATCATAACTTGAGTAGCACAACTTTTAGCTTCAATATATTCTAACTCGGAAGTAGAAAAAGGCAATTACTTTTATATATATATATATATATATATATAACCATGAGAACACATCATAACCAATTTCATCAATTACAAATGTCTTCAATGTTATAGTAGTAGTAGTGAGTAACTTGAACATGAATTCAAAAGGCACCATCTTTCTATAATCAAATTAATTCTTCATCTTCACGTGCTTTGATGGTGGAATACCGTGTTTGGAATAAACCTCATTAACTTATTCTTGATGATCAAACAAACAATCGACTTTCTTTCACTTACTTGACTTGTTACTACTTAGACCACTAACATCTTTTAACTTTATGAATTTATTAATACCCAAAAAATCAATAATCTCTTTCACCTCTTTGAGAAATAAAACTTGAGCTTTCAATCTTCTCTTTTAATTTAACATTCACCAAATTAATTTCTTTCTCACTTTTCCCGCTCGAAGAAAATAACATGTATTATCTACCTTTTCAAATTTCTTCATTAATTTATTATTTCCCATCTCTTCTCTTTTCATAAATTTTCCTTCATAGTTATTTTTGCATTTTATTGTCTCACAAAATAATTTCTCCACATCAAGTTCCGATAATCTTAAACATTCACAATTAAATTTAGACTCCAAGCTACAATTTGGTAATGAGAAATTCTACATATTAATTTTTGATAACCTTTTAACTTCATCCACAAATTTATCATTCAAACTACAATTTCACAAGCATAATTCTTCAAGTTTCTTAAGAGATGATAAAATTTACTAATAGATTTTGAATTTAAATTAGTATCCCATAAATCAAGTTCTTTAATTGCAACTTCTTCTTTATTATGTTATGAAAATCTAAATTATATGCCTAATATTCTATTAGTGAATTTTGTGATAACTATATTTCTTTTGGAGCTTTTCTTTTCTTAAAAACTTGCTTAAGTTTCAACCAACAACTATGTGGAGTTCAATATTTTTCATCAAAAATATTCCAACTCTAAATATGAGTATTTTCATACAATATTAATAATGTTTTTTTTTTTTTATCTAATGTTAAAGAAAACATCAATCTTTCTCTCCTACCTATCATATCCCAAATATTACATTCCTCTATGTATTTTTGTACTTGCAAACTCCAAATTCTATAACCATTTAAGAAAATTTTCTTTACCTACCTTGGTAAAATTTCATTGATCCTTTTCCTCCTTCTAACTTTGATGTTGCTATTCAATCCAAGATTATGACCTACTAACACACCAATTTATTATTTAAACATTTTAGAACTTGATTGATTTTATCGAATCACACCACACCCAATCCAAGGATCGCACTCTGTTTTTCGGGGTTTTTTTTTTGGTACAACATTGTAGGACTATTTTCACAATCCTCATAGCTAACTCCTAATGCCAACTTCAAAGCTTTGATACCACTTGTTGTACTTTGTCAAAACTTTGCTACCAAATGTAGAAAAAATTAAAATATCCAAATATAATATTTTACTTTATTAATTAAAAAACTAGCACTATAAGTGGATACAATAAGTGATTTAAAATTCATAAAACCAATTGATTGTAACTCATTCTACAAACACGACACTTGAGTTATTTAATCACTTGACACAAATAAGAGAAGATCAAACTCCTATATTTATAGAAACTCTACATCAACTAGCAACAAGTCTTACATTGATTTAAAAAACTAACTTTAATAAGGATTTGTAAAAGAATAGTGCTACATGACATTAGTGGTGTAAAAAAAAAAGTCATTATAATTTTATAAGGATAGTATTTTCTTGAAGGAATACATGGAAGGATACTTTATTTCAATGACTATTATGTCTTTAATATTTTCACTTTTCAAATTTATCCCTAAACCCTTTCTATTTTTGAAAATGGTGTCTCGTTATCATGATGTCATCAAGCATTTTCCTTTGTAAAAAGATCTTATGTCAAGTACAAAACCAACACCAACTCGGGAGATTAAATCATTGCGACATAAGAATTGAAGAATAATACCAACTTCTTTTAGTTTCAATAAAAGACATAATTTATAAGTGAAATTTTTTAGTGATGGCCAACCAAATTCGAGATTTTGTATTACTTTGACCGTGGGGTTTTATCGAGATCAAAATTTGATGCCATCCCATTGCTATAACCAAGGAAAAGGTAATGGATTATGTCATTATACTTCATCAAGCATGCTTTCACTATTGGATTCTTCATGTTAATTGTCCTATCATAAATGATACGATTAATGCTTTCGTAGGAGCTAATTATTTATCTACGTTATATTAATTATTTATCTATGTTATATTGCTGATCAAATAAAATATATAAAATTATTTTTAAAAATAATTTTAATTTCATGATATGTGTTATACCGTAGTTCTATCAAAACACATCAAATCAAAAATAAAAAAAATTATTATTATTTAATTATGTGTTTAACTAATTATTTATTATTTTTTCATAAATTTTTTGCTAAAAAGAACATAATTTATTCATCTATATCTAGATTCTTAGCTAAAAACTCGTAAGAAAATTTAAAATTTTATGAATTTTTAACTAAAAACATTTCTTATAATTTTTTTTAAAAAAAACTTTTAATCTTTAGATTGTATATATATATACACACACCATAATTTAAAAATTAAAAATTAAAAATTCAAAGAATTCATTATATAATTTTTTAAGAGCAAATAATCATATTTTAAAATTTATTGATATATATAACCATTTTGCGATCATTTAAAAATTAAAAGAATCCTTCAGATAAATTATATAAAAAAATTAAGAGCAAATAACAATATTCTAAAAATTTATTATATAAATTATATAATCATGCTTCTATCATTTAAAAATTCAAAAAATCCATTATATAAACTATATCAAAAAAAACTTTTAGAAGCAAATAATAATATCCTAAAAATTCATTACAAAATCTATACATATACCTCTTTCTTCTTCCTTTTTTTTTTTTTTTATTTCTCTCTCTTCTTAACTGCTAAAGATGGATTATAATATAAATAAAGTTAGAAAGGTCTCAAATAACCTTAAAAGTACAAGGCTTAATGTGACCAAAGTAGGAAAGTAAAGGGACTAACCATGAGTTTAGCTATTTTTCTTTCAGTGTAGTCGAGCTGTCAAAGCAATCAACCGCAATGACTAAGGAAATTCGAAGGGTATTTCAGTAAATGCAGGACCTACCATCGTGCTTTATAAAAAGAGAGGAAGAAAATCAGAAAACAAAAATCATCAAGTGCTACACATAATTTAACCCTAATTAGGGTTCCTAATTTCCCTCTTTTCTCCTCTCTATCTCTCTCTCGCAAAATTCGAATCAGGATTTTCCAGTTCCGGCATAAACAAACAAATTCGTTCTACAAAGATCTAAAAATTTCAACACCTTTGAGGATTTCAGAGCTCGAAAACCATGTACGGATCCAGAGGGTATGTATAAATTAAGCTTCCTTATTGATTTTGTTCTTGTCTTTATTTTTTTATTTTTTTATTTTTTGTATATAATTAGAACTGAGGAATATATAATTAAGGATAGAAAAACAGTGTTGTGGAACTTGCTGATTGTCTGCGTTGATTTCTAGAAATTTGAAAAATTTTGTGCTTTTTGAATGCAGTCTTATTTTTGTAGAATTGTAGGAATTAGAAGGAAAAAAAATTAGAAATTTTAAAAGTGTGGTACCATTGATTAGGACTATTGACTATTGGCATGTGGGCTGTTTGGAATTAATTTTAGGGGTATATAATAATTAATCAAATTGGAAAAAATAAGCAATGAAAAAAAAATTGTAAAGAGGACATTAATTTGCTGTCTTTGATATGGGTTTTCAAAAAAATAAAAAATAAAAAAAGAAAAAAGAAAACAGAAACTGAAGGGTTTGTGTTTCTTGAGGAAAGATTTTGTTTTAAGCATTAAGGTTGGCCAAAGAGATGAAAATAGTATTAAAAAGATTATATTTATGCATTTAATTTGAAGCTGCAAGCAACTTAAGCAGTTATGTGCTCTATGACCTAATAGATGAGAGTATCTTGGTGTCTTATATGAACTAAGCATTAAGTGTTTTGGTCACTGTTTTGTGTTTTGTTTCTTGATTCTTTCTTGTTGGCCATTGCATTAGTAAGTTTACATGCTGTTACTGCAAATTGTTGTTATAGTACTTGCTTTTTTATTTGGGTTTCGTGTGTAGTTCTATTTTGAGGAAGGGTGTTGTTAAATATGGTGCATTTTGTTTAAGAGTTAAAGCTGTAGGAATATTTAGGTGTCAGGGAAGTGTGGGTTGGGATTGGTTTTATTAACAGGTTTAGTGGGGATTTTTCTTTTTTTCCTTTTGGGTTTGGATAATTGAAGGGCAATGTTGGGAAGCGGGGGGTTTCGGATGGGTACGAGGTCGGCTCAAAGAGACAAAGAATGATGGAATCAAATCCCTACTTCGCAGTGAGCAGTGGTGCAAGTGGCTTTCAACCTTATGGCTATGGCGGTGGATTTCAGCCCCCGCCCTTTCCTGTGGTTCGTCTGAGGGGGCTTCCTTTCAACTGCTCGGATGTTGAGATTTTCAAGTTCTTTGCTGGACTGGATATTGTGGATGTGTTGCTGGTCAACAAGAATGGGCGGTTCACTGGAGAAGCTTTTGTTGTCTTTGCTGCACCCATGCAGGTTGAGTTTGCTTTACATAGGGATCGACAGAACATGGGGCGGAGGTATGTGGAAGTTTTTAGGTGCAAGAGGCAGGATTATTACAATGCTGTTGCTGCGGAGGTGAATTATGAAGGAATCTATGACAATGATTACCATGGAAGTCCTCCTCCATCTAGAGCAAAGAGGTTCAGTGATAAGGATCAAATGGAATACACAGAGATCTTGAAGATGCGAGGTCTTCCCTTTTCTGCTAAAAAAGCTGAAATAATTGAATTCTTTAAAGACTTCAAGCTGATTGAAGAAAGGATACACATTGCATGCCGCCCAGATGGGAAAGCTACTGGAGAGGCATATGTAGAGTTCATTTCTGTTGAGGAGGCTAAAAGAGCTATGAACAAGGACAAGATGACAATTGGGTCAAGGTATGTCGAGCTGTTTCCTTCAACTCAAGATGAAGCCAGACGGGCAGAGTCGAGATCAAGGCAGTGAAAATTGGGAGACTGGCCTGGGGATTCTATGCTGACTTTTGGTTTACTGGTTGTAGTCTAGCAATCTGTTTGCATTCACGTCAGTCTCAAATTAAGTCCAATGTGGTTATGGTTATATGTACTAAACATTCAGATACGAGATACATGTCTTTGAATGATCTAAATTTTACTTGTGAGGATGTTATGTTGAGTATCGTTTTGCTATAGGCCAAATTTGTTCCCGGCTCAGGTACTAATTGTTTGTCTGGCAAAAGTGGAGGGTTTATGATGACTAATTAATTGTTTGAGCGTTGGGTTTCTTATTCTTGGATGCATCAAATTTTATAGAAGGCGTAACTCACTTTTCCCCAAAGGAGATTCTAATTTGATGCGATGAGCTTCTATCTTCATTTGATGTACCTCTTGTTTGCGTCTTAATATTTTTTTTTTTTTTCCTTTGAACCCTAAGAAAAGCAAATTGTTAAGTGGTTATACCTGGGAATCATGTGCTTAGTTGTCAAGAAGGAAAAAACCTAAATCCAACCCTCTATGAAATTGATAAGTTATAGCCATCCTTCAAATTTCTGATATTTATCGTTTTGATAAATTGGGCCCACCAATCCTGACGCTTCCATTTCATGGTCATTTTTGTCTCTCCATCCAATTATATTTGCACACGTGGTAGCACATACGATGAGTACGAGTCGAATTGAACCACCTAGATAGCTATAAATTGGAAGGGTAAGGCGGGCAGTGTGGCCCAGAAGGTTAGTAAAAGGGCTAAAAAGTTCAAAATGAAAAACTTGAGATGCCGTCCATCTAATTTAGCCAAAAACAAAGTAAAAGGAAAATCGCAGCTCAGCACTTTCCGTTAAAATTGATTAACCCACCGATTCAATCACGCTTCTAGAGTACAGCCCACCCAGTCCTTCTCTCTTTCTCACTCTCTTCCAAAACTCAAACCACCACCGGCCAGGCAGCCAGCAGCCATTTCTTTCATCTCCAGTCCCCACGCATCTCCCTTTCTTATTCAAGGTAAGAGTCTGATGGTTACTGATGTAGCGATGTGGGTTTCAATGTTTTGGTTGCTTAATTAATTTGATTATTGTGGCGGAATAAAAGGCTGTCTTTTATTATTATTATTTTTTTTGGTGCTAGGTTATTGGTAGCTACTCAGTTGCTCATTCGCAGCAGCAAATCTATTGTTCCTCTCTAGTGCTACCATGGGTGAGCCCCCACTGTACCCGCAAATTGAACCAACTACCTTCGATCTGATTGCCATAGGCACTGGTTTAGCAGAATGCATTGTTGCTGCTGCAGCTTCTGCTTCTGGAAAAACTGTTCTCCACCTTGACACTAATCCATTCTATGGGTCCCATTACTCCTCTCTCTCCATCCCTGAACTCACATCGTTCCTCAATTCCAATTCTACACCTCCTCCCCCACCACCACCCTTCACTGCAACCGCAACTGACAGCCTTGATTACTTGATTGTAAATCTCACCACTCAGCCGGTATACTCAGATGTTGAGATTTCATGTTTTTGTCCTGAACTGTTGGAAAAAAACTCGCGGAAGTTTAATTTGGACTTATGTGGACCGAGGGTGTTATTTTGTGCAGACAAGTCAATTGACCTTATGTTAAAATCTGGAGCAAGTCAGTATGTGGAGTTTAAGAGTATTGATGCTAGTTTTGTTGGTGATGAGAATGGAAAGTTATGGAATGTGCCAGATTCTAGAGCTGCCATATTTAAGGATAAGAGTTTGAGTTTGATGGAAAAGAATCAGTTGATGAGGTTTTTCAAGCTGGTGCAAGGGCACTTGGCTGCCACAGTGGTGGCGGGTTCCGCTGGTGGTGATGGGAATGGGAATGAGAATGAGAATGATGAAGAGGAAAGTAAGGCAAAGATTTCAGAGGAGGATTTGGAGAGGCCATTTGTTGAGTACCTGTCGAAAATGCGGTTGCCTCCAAAGATTAAATCGTACAGACTGCTGTCGCCTTTCTCTATCAGTTAGTGAGATTTTATTCGTTATTTCAGTGCATTTTGTTTCCTTGTTTGGTCTAAAGTTTACTGGATTTTGTTTATCTCTGTTCCTCTGCAGGATTATTTTGTATGCTATAGCCATGGCAGATTATGATCAAAATGACATGGGGGTTTGTCGAGATTTGCTCAAGACCAAAGATGGAATAGATCGTTTGGCTCTATATCAGTCATCAGTTGGGAGGTTAATTCTTGTTTATTCTATTTTATATTTTAGCAGTTATCCTCCGGTTTAAAATTTAGGTGGGTTTTATAGCGCTGCACTTGTGACTGGTACTATATCTAGAACAGAAACACATATTGCATTAACCAGCAGATCATGTTATTTTCCTTCCCAGTATTGAACACCACAGAAAGTGTAGGATAGGAGTAGATAAAGAGGGAAAAGATGTTTTGAGTTCTTGTTCTGTACTGACTGCTAAAAATCTGATTATAATTAAGCGAGTTAAATCGATCTGCTTGAAGTTTCTTGTATGTAATTCTTAGTCCTTTCAGGTTTACAAATGCTTCCGGGGCTTTGATTTATCCCATTTATGGTCAAGGAGAACTGCCACAAGCCTTTAGTCGCCGTGCTGCCGTCAAAGGTTGCCTTTATGTAAGTACCACTGAAAGAAACTGTGGCTTCTTTCTCTCGGTGAAATATGAACTATCATTTTTGGTTAATAGGACCTTCTTTTTTAAATCTAACATAGTTGTTGTTGTCCATGTGCTATGTAGCTAACTTGTTCCTAAATGTGATTGACACTGTTTGATCTGTTCTGCTTTAGATACTTGGTTGTTATTTGATATTCACAAGAATGGTCACCGGTCTACTTGTGTTATTTTTTCCTTATATTTAGTTGAAACATTAAAATTTGAGTATAATGTTTATCTATTAGACTAAAGAATTTTTCTTATAAAGTAGACAAAAACAGTTGTTGCTTTGTCAAGCTAATATGCTCCCCTGCATTTGAAACTTCTGTCATACAGGTTTTGCGAATGCCAGTAACTGCATTGCTTATGGAAAAGGTGCTAATATGTGCTTATAATTTGTTTCATACATGGATAACATAAAATGAATATAGCCACCTGTAAGGTGAAAATGAGTTATCTTTTTTTTTTTTTTTTTTTGCCCCCAGGATAGTGGGAGTTACAAAGGTGTTCGATTGGCTTCTGGTCAGGACTTATTTAGCCAGAAGCTGGTTCTGGATCCATCCTTTACACTTAACTCACCGTCAGCCTCTCCTTCAGATCTTCTGCATGATAGTTTTAGCTTTTTGAGCATCAGAGATATTAAAGGGAAGGTGGCCAGAGGGATATACATCACACGAAGTTCCTTGAAGCCAGATACGCCAAACTTTCTGGCTGTATATCCCCCTCGATGTAAGATCAGCATATAGTTTCATTTCTGTGCCTTATTGGAGTCTATAGGAATCCTAATGTTTTATCCCTGTTCTCTAGCCTTGTATCCCGAGCAGATTACATCAATTCGAGCTCTCCAAATAAGTGGCAACTTGGCTGTTTGTCCTCTGGGCATGTGAGTTTTGTTTATTCTTGGAGAAGATGTGTTATGATACTAACCCCCCTCCCTTTTTTTTTTTTTTTTTTTGATGATACCCCCTTTTTTTATGTGTCTACTTTCCTTGACTTCTAATTCTACTGTTGACCATCTGTTAGCACTCTGCATGTGTAGCATTTGTAACATAAGTAGTCATGCAAGATAAACTTGAAAAATATAAGCGATACCTTGTCCTTGCTCACCCCTTACTAGATTTATGTGCTCTTTCAAATAAATGGTACATTTAGAAATACATATATTAAATGTGAAAAGTTGGAAAGGTAGCTTGTAGGAATTTTGAACCTCAGTTTGTTCTCTTTTTTAACTTTTGTAGTGCTATTGCTATGTATCCTTTGAAGTCCTGCTCCAATCAAAATATTTTTGAGGTCTAGGATTATAGACAAATTAATTATTTATGGTTTTGCTATTCATTAATTTTCTCCACATCTGTAGCATCTCTAAGGTGACAATAATCAACCTCTTATTCATTTCTTGAGGACCATTGTTCACAGTACAATAACCCTTGCCCCTCAAAAGAATATGGGATCCTTGAGTTAACAATTCTCTGATTATTTGTTTCAGGTTTGTGCTCTATCTTTCAGCTTTGTGCGACGATGCCAATCAAGGGAAGAGGTTATTAAATGCAGCTATGAATGCCCTTCTGACTTTTCCTGATTCTGTAAATTCTGAAAGCAGTTCCACAGTTCAGAGTGAGAATACTGAGGAAAAACCCACTGTAATTTGGAGCGGATTGTATATTCAGGAGATGGCTATGGTGTGCTTCTTGTCTTGTCTATTTGTTGCTATTAGCATCTCACTTGTGCACACGCACTCACACACACTTATGGGGATGGAACTTGCATTTAATTTTATCTTATGTGTTGGTAGTTTCAAGTTAACCACTAAGCTCGCATGTGGGGGTTAGAATGTAGGATGGCTCATGATACTGACATAACCATCTAAAGAAGTTGTGTTTTACTTGGTTAGGATGATGGAACTTGTTAAAGGGTTAATGAATGAGTTCAGAGAGTTATTGAGGGTTCCATATAACAGCTTAAGGTTACTTCTCTTCTGCCATGTGCCTGCCTATCTGGAGTTTTAGAACATGGTGGCTGCTGCCTTGGTGTTCCCTTCTTCTTCCTCTCTTGAATCTCCCTCCCTCCCTTCAATTTATTCTCTAGTTTTAGTTATTGACTCCTATTTTTTGCCTTTTATGTTCCGGCTGCCTCTATTTTCTTCTCCCCATACTCGTTTTGGGTAGTTGGAGTCCATCAAAGTTGTCTTGGCAGGTCGCTTTAGAGTCCCTTTAGTTCAGTTATCTGCTGTTGCACAATGATCTCCAGCTTCATCTTTTTTTTTCCCTGCCATTGTCATCATTTAAATCAATCTGCAACTCTCACATTGGAAAGCAGCCTCAGTCCATTTTAACTTTCTTAACGTGATTCTATGATCACTTTTAAGCTAAATGAATAGATTTGCTTTGCGGACCGTGCTCCACCCCGGTGAACTCATGCGGTTCCGACGTGCCCAGAGGCCAGAAGCGAAATCCGTTCACGGTCCGTAGGACCAACACCATTCGAAGGTGGGCGGCCCGCCTAGAACAGTCATGTTTGACTGGGCTTACACACATTCGCTCACTTACGCTGTCCCCCCTCAGCTCACCCTAGCCCCGGGCCTTTTGCTCTTCTAACGTAAGCTCCAAGGCTTCACACCAAGTCTTCACTGAGAAAATATGCATGCTTAAGTAGGGTCAGGCAGAACCTTATTATCTCTTGCTTTCCTAATCTATGGCCTTGAGTTGGATTGACATTCTTTTATTTACTGTTGCTTGAGTAAATATGTAACTCGGTGGTTCTTGCGAGTTTTCTTGTTGGATCTCCCAGTTTAGTGGCAGTCTAAGCAATGCTTCCTTTTGCTATGAAATGGCTATCAGGTGCACTGGGTTTGAAAAAATCTGATACTTTATAACTATTGTTGCTCATAGTTAGTGAAACTCAGAACTCGTGCACAATAGATCACTTTTTACATTAGGCTGGATGTGTAAATTTTTTGGAGATCCAGGCTGAGGTTTATTGATGTGCAAGCATTTAGGTTGATATTGGTTTGACTTATGATGCCATCTCTTTTGTTTCAGGGTCAATTTGATTCTATCAACTTTACTCTCATGCCCGACGGAAATCTGAATTATAACGATACATTGGATGCAGTTGTGAAGGTATTTCATTTTCTATTTCACTGTTAAAATGCTTCAGGTTTCATTGTCCTAAATGCCTAAAATTTTATATATATCATCATTTCAGTGTATTCCTGTTTTCTCTTTTATGTCCCTTCCAACAATTTGTCAAATAGGAATATAAATGTCAGTGATTAAAAAATTTATGAGCCGGTATGCATATACTCTTTCTAGATCACATTCATAGCTGGCTTTCATGTATTGTTTCATGATCTCTTCGGCTTCCTCTAGCTCGCTATGTAATTGGACATCCCTTAGTGACCCTAAAGAGTTATTCATTCTTTTTGGATGACTGAGAATTCAATACTGGTGCTTTTACTTGACAGCTCTTTCAGGAGATGTATCCAAATGAAGCATATTTCTCAGAGACAACTCCACCTGTGAATTCTGAGGATGATACTGAGCTCACTCTAGAGACATAGAGGTGATTTGCTGGACCGGATCAGTTTTCTTATTATGCTGCTGCATTCAATCACTTGCATTTCTCTGTCAGCAATTCTCTGGGCTATTTTTTACCTGGTGTTTGATAGTCGTGGTGGCATCAAATGGTTTATGAAGAAGGCAAGCTTTCCATGCTTAAGCTCTATACATATTTGCTAAACCAATCGAGGGGAAAACAAAAGTGATGCTACTGCACATGTTTCCTGTTTCGTGAAACTTGCGTGAGAATTGATAAAAAATCCAGAGATGATTGGTTTTTCAAGCAACTCTTTGTTGTAAAGCATGAAAGAAACTCATCAGAGAGATCATTGTTACATGAAAAACTTTAGTTAAAATGGTTCTTTGTAAAAAAGACAATTAAATCTTAATCAGTGGAAATATTTTGATTTCAACAATCATTCAGATTGTTTGTTGCCCTCACTTTGTTCTTCAATTCATAGATTCAAATAACAGCTTTTACATATATATCGGTTTTGAAGCATTCTGTTACTATTATTGGCACTATGGGAACTCTGTTATCATTTCACGCGTGAATAACGGCGTTATTGTTATCAACAATAACATCGTTATTTTGGCACTATGGGAACTCTGTTATCATTTCACACGTGAATAACGGCGTTATTGTTATCAACAATAACATCGTTATTTGCTGTTATATAACAGCATTACATTGCTTTACTATTGTGATAATTGCGATTTGAGATCATTTTTTCAACTGCATTTGTAATTCAAAATTATGTCTCAATAGCATGCACCAATATAGAATCTAGTTTTGGCATATGGCTCAAGTTCTATAATTCTGAGAATTGTCCTTCCACATCCTGCCCCGAAATTTAAGTGGCGATGGCCAGTGCAGAGTCCTTCAAAATAGCACATTGATTACAGGAAAGGAAAAGTCTAGCCAACGAGTGCTAACCCAAGTTACATCTGTATTTTTCATTATCATGATGTCATTTTCATTCTGAAGACCTTCGAATTTGAAAATTTTCTTGTTAGGATCTTGTCAGTGGATAAGCCAACCACCTAACATAAGACACGTGGAGGGGACATAGCACAAAACAACGTGAGACTCTGCATAAATAGATAAAAAAGAAGAAAGAATTTTTTTTTGGGGGGGGGGGGGGTGGGTGTTGGGAGGGCAAATTTACATTTTTTGTTATCTATTTCATTATTGTTCTCCTTTGGCTCCGCTTGTATAATGAAGAAAAAAGCCAAGCAACCAAGAAATTTTATATTATTTCAAGAGAGATTATCGATACTTAACTTTTTGAGAAAAAAAATTTATAAAACAATTAATTTAGGTAAAAATATTGTTAGTGGGTTCGTATGTAATTTTATTTCGTGGCCATCTGTCTCTTCATAAATAACTACTACTGAAAGAGAATGGGTTAATAGTCACAAAGTTTTTTTTTTTTCTTTTTTTCCGTCTTAAGTTCATTCTTTTTGGTTTTTATGTCAATGGCATCCTTTTGTTAACTTTTTGAGTTAACAATATCATATCACATCCTTAGATGGAATTGCAACATGTGTTAACTTATTTTTTTCTTTCATCTTAATCTTGTGTCTATGTCATTTTTTCATCTTAATTTAATTTTTTATACCAAATTTAACTTAATAATTTTTTTTATAAAAAAAAGATACATTCGATCATTCTCTCTAAAAAAATAATAAAAAAGATAATGCTAAAACATTTTTTTATTCAAAATATTTTTTACAATATATATATATATATATATATATATATATATAATAGTAATCATTATAAAATAAAATATTTATAGGTTTTTTTTTAAGTATATATGAAGAGAATTTTAATTAATTTTTTTAAATTTTGAAATATATTTATAATTTTATAATACTTCAAAAGAGTCTATTATAATCTACTTATTTTAATTTTATAAATTTTTTAATTTGACTCAAATAAAAATATAAATTTCGTTACAAATTTTAGTCAAATTAAAAAAATTCCTTATTATTGAGTAATTTATATTCTCACTTTTAAGTCAATTTATAAAATTTATAAAATCAAAATAAATAAATTATAATACTTTTTTAAGCTATTATAAAATTATAAATATCATTCAAAAATTTAAAAATTTAGCTAAATTTTCTTTTCACATTTAAAAGAATATTATAAATATTTTATTCTCAAAATTTGTTCACTATCGAAGAGATAAATTTAAATACATAAATAATATTTTGGCTAAAAAATATTTTTATCTTTATTTTTTTTTCAAAATTCATTTATTTAAATTTGGTAACAAAAAACAATAATAAAATAGAAAAATAGAATATTAGCACGATATTAAAAAAAAAGTTACATGCATTGCAATTGCATGGAGGCTAGCGGTGCGATTTAACACGATTAATTCAAAAATTAACGAGAAACTAGATTTGAACTTGAGACAAAACAAAAAAACAGAGAAACATGGTAAAGAGAGAAGGAAGATTAGAGGTACTCTGCAACCATTAACCCAAAAGAGAATCGTGCAAAGATCTATAAACAAATTCTGTTTTGCTGCCTCAATCAATTCACTATATCTGTGCAAGTGGGAGGTAGTTTGGCGATGATAAGGAACGATATGTGGCAAACTGTAATTAGCTAAAGAGATGATACCACCAAAATGAAGTTGTCTTGCGAATTCAAGGTATGCGGCATTCCATGAACTTGAAATTCATTCAATGTTGCTTTGTGTCTATGTGTTTGTTTTGTTTCAATCTTGACAAAAGAGATGATGGCATTATAGATTTTCAGGTATTAGAGCTTTTTTTAATTATTCCAATTCTGTTCATGGGTCATATATATATATACACACACACACAATGGCGTTCGACTGCTTGAAGATGCTGCGATGACACTTAAGTGGGTTATTTTGTGTAGGCAATAGCGTGTCTAGTATGATTTGTAGTTTGTTTTTCTAAGTTCTTGCTCATCCTTTGTTTGGAATTGGTTTGAATATTCCATTTCTTGGTTCGTAAGAAAAAAAAGGTGCGATCTAATGAACCAATTTTGCGTGATCCTATATAATTCTTTTGTTTTAAGTTGGGATTATACAATTGAATCTTTTAACTTCAAACTTTTCCAGACAAGAAAAAAAAAATAGGCGGAGGGTGTTTTGTGTGTGTGTGTGTGTGTGTTGGGGGGGGGGGGGGGGGGGGGGCGGGGGGGTGGTTGTGGTGGGGTTGGTGTGGGCGCGCCCAAATAGAATTCCCTTGCCACAATTTATTATGTTCTAAATAAGCTGACAAAGAAATATGGAAAAACTACGTTGTTGATGGTACTTGATGAGGCTGATTTTTCTTGTTGCCAGGTGACTTGTAGCTACTCAGTTGCTTATTTCTGGCAGCTAATCTACTGTCCCTCTCACGTGCTACCATGAGTGAGCCTCCACTTTATCCAGAATTGAACCAACAACTGTCGACCTGAGTGCCATAGGCACTAGTTTACCACAATGCATTATGGCTGCTACAGCTTCTGCTGGTGGAAAAACTGCACTCCTATTTGACCCTAGCCCCTTCTTTGGGTCCCATTACGCCTCTCTCTCCTTCCCTGAACTAGAATTGTTCCTCGATTCCAATTCAAAACAACCATCTTTGGGTGCCACTGCGGTTAACGGTTATGACTACTTGATTGTAAGTCTCACCACTCGGCCTGTTTATTCAGATGTTGAGATTTCCTGTTTTTCTCCTAAATTATTAGAGGGGACCTGACAAAAGTCTTATTTGGATTTATGTGGACCGAGGGTGATATGTGTTGAGGATAAGTCTTTTGACTTTATTTTACGATTTCAAGTACACAACTACATTGAGTTTAAGAGTGTTGACGTTAGTTTTGATGGTGATGAGAATGGCAAGTATGGAATGTGCTAGATTCAAGAGCTACTATGTTGACAGATAAGAGATAATGGAGAAGAATCAATTGATAGGTTTTTTCAAGCTGATGCAAGGACAGTTGGCTGCCATGGCAGCAGGAACTGATTTTTCTGGTGGTCATGATAATGGGAATGATGAAGAGGAAGGAGAGAAGGGGGAAATTTTGGAGGAGGATTTGGAAAGGCTGTTTGTTGAGTTTTTTTCGAAAATGCAGTTGCCTCCAAAATTAAATCGTACAGACTGCTATTGCCTTTCTCTGTCAGTTGGTTGAGAGTTTATTTCTTTATTTCTGTGCGTTTTGTTTCCCTGTCTGGTCTAACATTTTCTGTATTTTTGCTTATCCCTGTTGTGTCTGCAAGATTATTCTGTATGCTACAATGATGGCAGATTATGATCAAGAGGAAACAGGAGTTAGTAAAGATTTTCTCAAGACTAAAGATGGAAATAGATCGCATTCCCCTCTACCTATCATCCACTGTAAAGTTTATTCGTTTCTATTCTGGTCTACAGTTTAGCAGTTATTTTCTAGTTTAAACTTGAGGTAGTTTTTGTGGTGCTGCATGTTCGATTGGTATGATTTCTAGCTCAGAAACATGTGTTTCATGACTGGATCATTAATTATATCATTTTCCACCCTATACTGAATACCAAGAAAATTGTAAGATAGAAGCAGATAAAGATGGCGGTTCAATTTCTAGTTCTGTTCTAACAACTGCAACTCTGACTTTCCAAGATGTAAAATGTGTGCTAGGATTCTTGTATATTAGGTAAATGAGTGGAATCAATACTGTTCTTATCCATTTTATCATTACAAATGCAAATGTGTTATGGTTCCGAGTGAAGGATCTTGTCACAGATCGATTAACGGGGAAGTTGTTTAACTTTCCCTTGTTCAAGTTTCGATTCTTTCTTGAAGAACCTATGATGGTAGATAACAAGGATGGTTTGTTTTAGAGACCACCAAGTCTCCTAGGTTTTCGTTGGCTGAAATGTTCGATACCTTTATTCAGAAAGCATCCGCTCTTTATATAGTAAAGGCAGTTGAAAAACAAAGATAACCTTAATAGGCTATTGCGTAGACAAACTCACACTAACATAGAAAGTCTTAATTAAAATACAACACCAATTAGGACTCTCATATCATTTTCCTAATCTGACTTATTCTTAATAAATAATAAATAAAAGCAATAAATAAATATCTGCAAGATTTTAGTTTCACTCCTTGCGCTGCTGCCTTCTTCTATACTACTGATCCAGAACAAAATGTAGCTTTGACTTACCCTGTTTGTGGTCAAGTAGAACTTTCAAAGGCTTTTAGCCCTCTTGCTGCTCTCAGAGATTGCCTTTATGTAAGTTCAATTTAAGTTTGCTGTGGCTTTTTCCTTTTGGTGAAATATTAAATGTCATCTAGCTTTGCCGTAGTTTTGGTTTAAACATATCATTTCTGTACATGAGATGTGTAAACAAGAATGCTAAGTGTGTCTGGGTTTCAATGAATGCTTGATCTTTTTTTGTTGCTTTAGATACTTAGCCGTTATGTGACCATTTCCATGAGAAAAGTCATTTTTTATTTTCTTTTGTCTATATTCAGGAGGAACATATTAAAATTGTAAATAATCTTACCTATTAGATTGTAGAAGTTTTCTTACAAAGTGGACATAGTCAGTTGTTGCTCTGCCCATCTGAATTGAAAACTTGTCATACAGGTTTCATCAATGCCAGTTACTGCTTTGCTTATGGACAAGGTGCTAAAATATGCTTGAGATTTGTTTACTACATGGATAACGTTAAACTAATACAGTAATTTGTGAGCTGCAAAAGAGTTATCTTTTGTTTAAACTATTTCAGGATAGTGGGAGTTACAAATTTGTACGATTGCCTTCTTATTAGGACATCTTTAGCTAGAGGCTGGTGCTGGATCCATCCTTTACAATTCCACCACCATCAGCCTCTCCATCAGATCTTGTATAAAAGCTTCAACTTTTGGAGCTTCAGAGATGATAAAGGGAAAATTGCCAGGGGGATAGGCATTACAAGTAGTTCTTGAAGCCAGGCATATCAAATTTGTTGGTCATATATCCCCCCTGATGTAAGGTCAACTTGTGGTTTTGTTCATGTTCCCCTTCCTCGTTGAAGTTACTAGGAATAATAAAATACAATTCTTACTTTTTTATTCTTTTATTTTTCTCTGGCCTTGTACCTTGAGCAGGTTACCTAAATACGTGTTCTCCAAATAAGTGGCAATTTAGGTTTTGTGTCCTCCAGGCATGTAAGTCTTGCACTCTTGCTTATTCTTGGAGAAGATATGTAATATCATCCTTTTATTTTGTTTTCACTTCCGTTGAATTACTGATTCTATTGTTAGGACTTTATATCCTTCTTCTAATCTGACTTATTCTTGATAAATAATAAATAAAAGCAATAAATAAATATCCGTAAGATCTTAGTTTTCTTTTGCGCTGCTATCGTTTTCTATACTGTTGATCCATAACATATATCCCCCTGATGTAAGGTCGAACTTATGGTTTTGTTCATGTTCCCCTTCCTCATTGAAGTTACTAGGAATAATAAAATACAATTCTTACTTTTTTCTTCTTCTTTTTTTATCTGGCCTTGTACTTCGAGCAGGTTAGAAATAGTTGTTCCCCGAATAAGTGGCAATTTAGGTTTTTTGTTCCCTAGGCATGGAAGTCTTGCACTCTTGCTTATTCTAGGAGAAGATATGTAATATCATCCTTTTATTTTGTTTTCTCTTTCGTTGAATTACTGATTTTATTGTTGACCATCTGTTTATGACTGCATTTGATAGCATTTGTAACTTATGTTACTCATGCGAGATCAACCTGAAAAATAATTGGGAGACCTGGTCCTTATCCAATTCATAGCATTTATGTGGACTCTTGGGAAAAGTTTTCAAAAATAACTGATCAATATTTAGAAAATACATTACTAATTGTTAGAATGCGTAATGCAGCTAGGAGTTATAAACTGAAATTGGTTTTGAGTTTTTTTGACACTGTTGTGACTCTATTGGTGTTTATCCTGTGAAGTTCTAAGAGTAGCCTGCTTGAATTAAATGATTTGTCCCGGACAAATTAATTACTTATGACTCCTCAATTCTTTGATTTTTTTTTTCCCATGCTAACTGAATCTCGAAGGTTACAATAATGGAGCTTGTGATTTATTTTTTGAGAATTACTGTTTGTAGTGCAATAATTCCAAGCTTCATAAAATTTTTTGGGACACTTGACTTGACAATTCTCTGATTGTTTCAGGCTTCTGTTGTATCTTTCAGCTTTATGCAATGATGCCAATCAAGGAAAGAGGTTACTAAATGCAGTCATGCATGCCCATCTCACTGTTCCTGATTCTCTAAATTCGGAAAGCAGTTCCAGTGTTCAAAATGAGAATACGAAAGGAAAACCCACTGTACTATGGGGGGATTGTATATTCAGGAGATCTATCGTATCCTTCTCATCTTGTCCATTCGTGTCTTACTCATAGGTTTGAATATTTACGGGTAGCTTAGTTAAAAGTACTGAATGTGATATTTTGTTTAGAAATTGTAGTTTAATTTTTATGTTATGACTTATGTGTTGGCAGTTTCAAGCTGAGCTCGCTCGAAAGCTTGCATCTGGATGGTTATTTTCATAGACACTAGCAAAATCGCTTAAATATGTTGGATTTTGCTTGGTTGGATAATGAAACTTGTCAGTGAATTAACTGATCAGTACTAGGACTTATTTATATATGTTGCCTATAAAAGCTTAAGGTTACTTTTCTTTTATGATGTTCCTGCCAATCTGGAGTTTTAGAACCTGGAGGTTGTCAGTTGTCACCCTAGTGTTCCCATTGTTTCCTGATTTCTATGTTCTTGCTGTCCATTTTCCCTTTTGTACTTGTCTTTGTTAGCTGGAGTCCAAGAAATGTTTTCTCAGCAGCTGTTGTAAAATGTAAATAAGCTCTTTATTTGCAATTTTCTATCAACATAACCATCCGAGTCAATCCCTACTATCAGCTTACAAAGCCCTCAATCCATGTTACTTTGCTAACTAATCTGTATAATCACTTTCAAGCTGAGTGAACACATGTGCTTCAACAATTTCATCAGATTCCAATATCAACCCTGGCTTTCTTTTAGTTGTTCTAAATCTATGATTTTGAGTTGTATTGACATTCTTTTTTAAAAAAAAATTATTTTTTATGCTTTTTTAGTATATATTTAGCTTTCTTATTGTTGCTTGTTGGAGCTCCCAATTTAGAGGTAGTCCAAGGAATGCTTCCTTATGCTCTAATATGGTTGTCAGGTCAACAGGGATTGAAAATCCGGTATTTTATATTTGAGCTTAATTGATCTCTGTAAAAAATAAATGTTTTTTTTTTTTTTTTTTATTTTGACCCTGAAACACCTAGATAGAAGTGTCTATAGCATGCAAGTTTTTTTTAACTGGTATTGCTTTCACTTATGATCCATCCATCTTCTTCTTCTTCTTCTTTTTTAGGGCCAATTTGATTCTTTCAGCTGTGCTTCTATGCCTGATGGAAGTCTATACCACAACATTATTTTAGATGAAGCTAATGGAGGTATTTTATCTTGGATTCGGTTTCATAATGCTTCATTTTCGATTATGCCAAAATGCTCAACTTCTATACGCTGTCACCTTATTGTTCTTCCATCAACAAAATTTCTCGTTTTTTGTCTTATCTATCAATTTCTAAGAGGAAAATGAATGTCAATGTTTCAAGAACTGTGAACTAAGTGTATGCTCTTACCTGGTCAAATTGGATATTCACATACATATTCCATAGATCCATGTCATGATCTCTTTTGCTTCCTCTAGTTTGTAATGTATGAAATATCATATGCCGAGACAATAGGGTTTTCATTTTTTTTTCCCCTCTAGTCGTGCTCCTTGTTGACAGCTCTTTCAGAAGATTTATCCGGATGAAGGATTTTTCCAAGAGACAACTCCACTCGTCAAATTCCAAGAACAGTAGGGGGCTCATTATAGAGGCAAAGAGGTGATTTGCTAGACTGCACCAATCTGCCTGTTATGTTACTGCATCCAATTATCTTTCATTTCTCTGCCAGCAATTCTCTTGGTCTTCTGCACAACATGGTAGCATCTGATTGTCTGATGAAGACAAACTTCCATGCTTAAGCTCTATAGATTTTTGTTAAAGCAATTTAAGGGGTAAAATGTGAATCTACTAGGCAAATTTCCTTTTTTCTCGAACTTGAACGTCATTTGAAAAACTGTAAGGTTGATTTGATTCTTTGTCTCAAGCAACCACTGAAAATATCAGAACAAGCCTCTACGTACTTTTGCTGTATAGCATGAAATAAGCTGATGAGGATAACAGTTACATGGAAAATTTAACTGTACTTGTTTGCAGACAATAATAGTTGAATCTGTTGATTTCAACATAATTTGCATGTTGCCTTGTCTTTATTCTTTGATCCATTTGACACCATATATATCAGCTTTGCAAAGAATCAGAGTTCTATAGTCGATTGTCCATTGCTCAGTATTAATCATCAGCCCATGCTTCTTAATTTGTACAATTCTGAATCTGGAAAAAATTGAAAATTCTTGGCCTGCCAGTATAATGCAAGAAATTATTCACCATCCCTCGCTTGCATTTATGATCATAAGGCAGGCTCTTCATGAATGCAAGAAGATTTACCTTCATATGGAATCAAAGATCATGAAGTTGGTTCCTCGATACACAATAACTTGTCATCTACTAAAAAACTTGAGAGATACTCATCCCCAGTTACCAATTTCGAATTATCAATTATTGATAGAATGGGTCTAATAGTAATTGGTGGATTCTATGAGAATTTAATATTTCGGCCACAAAAAATTGGGGTTAGATATAAATCAAATGGCATTCCCATTTTGATGCTCTTTTGTTTCTTTAATAAACCTGACTCCACAGTACTTTAATGTGCTTGAACACTCCCAAACTAAAGTCCATTATGGTCAAAGCTTTCTGCTTCAAGACAATAACATGAAAACTTCCAAAACATTGTACAAGTCCAACGGTCCAAGCTCTTCAATCGAGGTAGTCTAATGGCATTTTCGTTAATTGCGAACCATCTCAAGGTCTAAATTATTGCTCACTTTAACTTCCTTTGCCACTTCTCAAACATGCACCCAAGGTAGTTTTGGTAGGTTTTCATGAGCAAAAAGTGCTTCCTTTTTAACAAATTTTATAAATATTCAAATATTTCCGGATGATACAGGTATTTATGGGGAAAAATCATAAGATAATTTTCTCTCTCTCTCTCCGGATTTGGAGAGTTTTCCATAACTATCGTCATCTGTATCGTTTTTTCCAATGTTTTCTTTTAATGATTTTAAATTTAGTATTCTTTCTGCTCTAGTTTTTTTTTTTTTTTTATGTTTTTCTTAGATTAAAGTTGTTTATTGATTGTTTCTCTTGTTTTTCTATCTTTTCACGAATTTTTATTATAAAACGTTAATAAATCTATATTGAAATCTCTTGTTTAATTTAAAAAGAATGTCAAATAAAAAAAAATCAAGATAATAAAACTTCTGATCGAAAAATAGTATACTAACTGTATGTTTACTTATAAAATAGTTTTAAATTTTTAGTTTTTACAGAAAAATTTTTATTGTATGTTTTTGGATGTTTTTATAGTGTCATGTATGTTTGTTTCATTCTTTGTATAGAGAGAACTAGTTGGTTGCCCGCACTACATCGCGGATCCGATAGAACAAAATCATTTTAAAATTTTATAATTTTTAATTATAAGTTTTTATTTAATTAATTTTTTTATAATGTCTTTCATAAATTTTCTACTTAAAAAAAAACACAAATCATTCTTCTTTATAGATTAATTTTAAAATAAAAAATTATAATAATTTTAAATAAAATATTAATCAAGAATTAAAAAAATTTAAAAACATAGTTTCCAAAATATTATATTTCAAAAAATAAAGTTATAATTAATGGTTAGACTTTTCCAAAATTAACAAATGAAAAAAAAATTCTTATT